TTCTTTGTTTCCAACTTTCACATTCCAATCATCAGTAATTGTCAATGCATCTTAATTGTATGTTTGATCAATTTCAGACAGAAGAGGTTGGTAGAATTCTTCAATTACATCATCACTGTCATTAGTGGTTGCTGTGTAAATCTGAATAATATTGTGTTAACTGTACTTCTTTGTGTTGTTGTTGTTAGGTACCATTGACTCAGTTCTGACTCATAGTGACACGATGTATAACAGAATGAAACACTACCCTGTTTTTTGCCATCCTCACAATTATTGTGTTTGAGTCCGTTTCATTGGGGTTCTTCATCGTTTTCACCTACTGTCCATGGAAATAAATGTTGCCAAACTGAAATGAGGGTTTGCCGCCTTCACTATAGTCAATCACAGAGATGGGGAGAGATCTAACCCAAGCTTTATTTACAGAAAGCCAGCTGTCTGGAGGATGGAGAAAATAATTTCCCAGGACCTCCCTGTCCATTATGAAGAGCAGGCACATTGTATAGGGTAAATTACATTTGGATGTACACAATCTATTTTAATATCAAGGTAGCATTCTTTGGAAAAGGAAACAATACATCAATAAACTTCCTCAAACATTCTATCTTTAGGGTCTCAGCTGCTTAATCCTAAATGGGTTTAAGCACTGCTTAATCTGGGTGGGTTTAAACACATTTTACTCTCCTTGTTCTGTTCTTCTAGGACCATAAGGTCATATTAGCTAATTTTTAAACTTCTTCATAACATTCATTTGATACCTATTGACTAGACTGACTCCATTTTGTTTAGGTTGGTACATGACCAAGCATGTAGTCCTTCTCTTGGGACCTGTGCTTCCTGATAACATGCCTAAAGAATGAGAGATGAAGTCTCGCTATCCTAGCTTCAAAGGACCATCTGGCTGTATACTTCTTCCAACACAGATTTATTTGTTCTTGTGGCAGTCCATGATCCTTTAAAAATTATTCTCCAACATGACAATTCAAATGCATTGATTCTTCTATGGTCTTTCTTATTCATTGTCCAACTTTCACATGCATATGAGGAGACTGAAAATACCTTGGCTTGGATCAGGTGCACCTTAGTTCTCAAACTGATCTCTTTGCCTTTTTTGTTTTTTAAAACCACTTTAAAGAGGTAGGTGCAGCAAATTGCCTTGTATGTTGTTTGTTTTCTTGACTGTTGCTTCCATGAGTGCTAATTGTGGATCCAAGTAAAATGAAATGTTTGAAAACTTCAATCTTTTCTCCATTTACCATGATGCTATTTATTGGTTCAGTTGTGAGGACTTCTGTTTTCTTTACATTGAGATGCAACCCATAGTGAAGTCTGTCTTCACTGTAGGCATATGGATATTATCCTTTCACAGGTAGCATTGTACTTCAAGATAGATTTCAAAATGTTCTTTTTGATGATGAATGTAATGCCATTCCTCTTCAATTTGTCATTATTGGCATAGTAAATCATATGATTATTTGATTCAAAATGGCCAATACCATTCCATTTCAGCTCACTAATGCTTGCGTAATAAAGATATGGATCTTTGTGTGTTCCATTTTAATTTGACAACTTACAATTTTCTTAGATTCATATTTTGTTCATTCCATGTTCTAATTATTTTGTACATTTCACCACTTGTCCATCAGTTTGTTGTACTGTGATGTCTTGTGTGTTGCTGTTATGGTGGAAGCTATGCCATGGGTGTTTTAAATACCAGCAGGGTCACCTATAGTGGGTAAATTTCAGTGGAGCTTCCAGACTAAGACAGACTAGGAAGAAGGAGAAATCGACCATTTCTGAATGGCTAGTCACTGAAAACCTTATGAATAGCAGCATAACATTGTCAGATGTATTGCCAGAAGATGAGTCCCTCAGGGTGGAAAGCACTCAAAATATGACTGGAAAAGAGTTGCCGCCTCAAGGCAGAATTAACCTTAATGATGTGGATGGAACAAAGCTTTCAAGACCTTCGTTTGCTGTTGGGGCACAATTCAAAATGAGAAGAAACAGCTGCAACATCCATTAATAATTGGAAAGTGGACTAGACCAGTAAACAGGCCTATACAATAAACAGTAACTCCAGGGCAGTACATACTCCTTAGAACAACCTACTATAGGAAATTAAAAAGGTAGTGTTTGCCCAGGGATAAATCTCAAGGCAGGAAAAGAGTGGAAATAACCAACACAGGGAGGAAGAAGAGGACTGTTAAACTGAGGGGAATTCAGTCAAGGCCACAGGTTAAATATGTATGAATTGTTAAATGGAAAACCAACTTACTCTGTGAATGTGTACCCAAATTATAAGAAAACGTTTAAATAAATGAATAGTGAACACACAAACTGTTTAAAAAGGAACAAAAAGATCAGGGCCTGGTGGACAGGTCCTGAGGAGCTTTTGGCAGGAATCCAGGCTGGGGGATGAAGACTGAGCTAGGCTGAGCACAGAGATGGAGAAAGTGAGGAGGGTTTGAAGGACACTGCAGAGATACAATCAACAACACGTAGGGACCTATGGTCCATTTTCCCACCCCAGAAATGTGAATTTGCCTCCCTCTCCCCCTCACTCCTCCCAAGCCCTCACAGAAAATCCGCTGCGAACGGAAACAGGACATTCTGTTCCAGTGAGTCATCAGGCCTTTGGCTCCCCCTCCCCACAGCCTCTGTGGTCTCTGCCTCTCCCCCTCCCCCTCCCACCCTAGCTCACAGGCACAGGCTGAAGGCCCCAGGAGGAGGCTTCCTTCCTCACTGTGGGATTTCACCAGCCATTCATGGGAAATCTGGGAGCATGTCTCCGGGCTTTGGTGAGGAGACTGTTACAAATTCCATTTTAGGGAAGGAAGGAGACTGAGATCCAGGGAAGGCAAGTACTCTGTAAGGCCACCCAGCAAGTTTCACAAGGAGCTAATCCTAATACATTGTTGGATTACCCAATAAGCAAGGTAAGCACAGGCTTACTTGTGCTTAGTTACTAATCTTCAGTGGGCAATTTCACTACAACAAAGATTTTGCTTCTAGGTCTGGCTGGCATCTTTCTCTCTCAACCCCACAGCATCTTCCTATAGAATCAAAACCTCTTTTCAAATTTACAATCTGGAAGGGGCAGAATATGCAGTAAACAAGGTAAACATGGGCTTACTTGTGTTTACTTACTGTTCTTTAGTGATTTGAATTGTTCATTACAGATTAGTAAGAAAACACAAGTAAGCCAGTGCTTACCTTACTTATCTTGTTGCTACCGGAACAGTGTAAAGAACTCTTCCCCCTCCCTCCCATTCCTACTGCCTCATACTGGCACCAGCAGCCACTGGCTGGAGACAAAAGGCCTGGAGAAGAAATCTTGTTCCCATCAGAAGGAAGAGGGAGGCCCCAGGGGGATACAGACCACAGGCCTCCTATCTCCTGAGTTTCTACCCATGTTGCAATCAAGAGCCTGTTCACAAAAGCTTCTTTGTGATTTTTATTTTCATGTCTTAAAGGGGCCAGTGAATTGGCTGTGCCTTCTTTCAATTACAAAGGGCATTTCCAGGGCTCAGCTCAACTACACCTTCTGGCCAGAGATTTCAGCTGCCTAATAAGGAAGTCCAAAGACACTTTGCACTTTGCAGAGAGTTTTCCGTCCACACATGTGTCTGCATGCATTGGTACACTGAATTCTTTGCATGCTTGTTAATTGTGGTGTCCACTGAGAGTTACAGTCACAGGGGGCGTCCATCCCCTGTCCTCCATAATCCTCCAGTGTCGAAGCACCACCCAGGTTTCCTCAGTTCTCTGCCTCCATGGTACATTGGGGCATAATATGCACAGGAAGCCTGAAAGGACTCAGCTCACAATACCGGCATTCACCACAGGGAGACGTCCTTCTGCACTGAAAGTTCCAGCTCTACTTGTCCTGGTGACAGCAGGGGAGGCAGCAGCAGCCACCCACAGGCATCATCGGTGACCTCGGTGAGGGTGGTGGTGGTGGAGATGGTGTGGAGAGTGGTGCCGGTGGTGGTGGTGGTGGTGGAGGCCAGCATGGGGCATGCGAGACACATGGCCAGGACGATGGGCATGGTGAAGGTGTCCCATGTGGCCCCGGCCACGCAAGAGCCAGGGCCCAGCCCATAAGACTCGGTTTACCCCTGCAGCTGGGCGGTTTCTCTCCACATCGTTTTCCTGCTGACCATGATACAGGCAGGTGACCAGCAGCAGCAGCAACAGCAGAACGGCCACAGCAGCACCTATAATCAAACCCACAAGGGTTGTGCTCCCCAGGAGGCCTAGCATCTGCGTGCTAGACATTCCGGTCTCTGCTCGGTGCCTTCTTGCTGCTTCCTTCCCGTTAGCAGTCTCCCTGCATAGCTCAGTTCAGCCACTGACCTGTTGTCTCAGCTCCTGCAGGCTGGAGAGCAGCCCTGGAATGTGGGAGCAGCCTGTTTGGACTGGAACTGTGGGCCAAAGGGCGAGGCCACTCAGCTATTAACTCTGGGGAGGCCGGCAGGGGGGCGGTACAGAGGCCTTGGGAGGCACTGTCAGACTGAGCTTTGTTGGGAGAAGAGCCCTGTGTCTGGAGATATAAGGTCTTGGTCCCTTCAGCTTTGCTGCTGGCTGAGGGAACAGCCTCTGGACTATGGTTCTCTCCTCTTCAAGAGACAGGGTAGCCAGCGATTAAGAGCCTGGATCCTGGAACCACAGGACCATGAGCTCTGTGAGTGTGCACAAGTTACTTAACTTTTCTGTGTCTCCATTTTCTCATTTGTAAAGTTGCTAATCATGGGACCCACCTCACAAGGTTTTGTGAGGATTAATCAAGTTGATATACATAAAGCGTTTAAACCAGTTCCTGGCAAATATTTGAATTTATAATTTGCCATGGAGTTTGAGCTAAGTGATCTTGTCATCTGAGTACTGTGGCTCTGTGTAGAGCAGTCAACAAAGTCTCCCAGGATTAAGAGTCAGCTTCTGATAAATGAATTGCTTAAGGCACCACAGGATGATTTTCTTTATCCAGGGAGTCTGAACAACCTGGAAGGCAATTGGGACTGGGGTTCAGCCCCAAGGTGTGAAGGGAGGTAGTTAGAGGCCACCAAGCCCAAGTCTCAGCTTTCTGGTAACCAGTTCAACAGTCTCAACTAGACTTAAATAACTAGAGGCATAGCTAAGGTCCACCACTCTTCTGGCAGTTTGTCATACTGTGGTGGCTTGCGAGTTGCTGTGATTCTGGAAGATATTCCACCAGTATTTTAAATACCAGCAGGGTCACCCTTGGTGGACAGGTTTCAGATGAGCTTCCAGATGAAGACACACGAGGAAGAAGGAGTGATGAATTACATCCAAATATTTAGTCACTGAAAACCTTATGAATAGCAGAGAATCACTGTCAAATATAGTGCCGGAAAATGAGCCCCTCAGGTTGGAAGGCACTCAAAATGTGACTGGGGAAGAGCTGCCTCCTCAAAGTGGAGTTGACCTTGATGACGTGAATGGAGTAAAGCCTGTGGGAGTAAAGTCCACGGGACCTTCATCTGCTGATGGGGCACAACTCAAAATGAAGAGAAACAGCTGTAAACAACCATTCATAATTGGAACATGGAATGTACGAAGTATGAATGTAGCAAAATTAGAAATTGTCAAAAATGAAATGGAACGCATAAACATTGATACCTTAGGCACTAGTGAGCTGAAATGGACTGGTTTTAGTCATTTTGAATCTGACAATCACATGGTTTGCTATGTCAGGAATGACAAATTGAAGAGGAATTGTGTTGCATTCATCGTCACAAAGAACATATCCAGATCAGTCATGAGGTATAATGCTGTCTGTGATAGGATAATATCCATGCGCCAACAGGGAAGACCAGTTAATACCACTATTATTTAAATTTACGCACCAACCACTAGAGCCAGTGAGGATGAAATAGAAGAATGCTACCAACTTCTTCAATTTGAAATTGATCAAACATGCAGTCAAGATGTACTGATCATTAGTATTGATTGGGAGGAAAGAGGAAGGATCAGTAGTTGGAAAATATGGTCTTGGTGATAGAAATGATATTGGAGATTGCATGATGGAATTCTGCAAAATCAATGATTTGTTCATTTCAAATACCTTCTTTAGACAGCGTAGGAGATGACTATACACATGGACCTCACCAGATGGAATACATAGAAATCAAATTGGCTACATCTATGGAAAAAGATAATGGAAAAGTTCCATATCATCAGTGAAAAGAAGGTCAAGGGCAGATTGTGGAACAGACGATCAATTGCTCATATGCAAATTCAAACTGAAGCTGAAGAAAATGAAAATAAGCCCACGAGAGCCAAAATATGACCTTGAATATATCCCACCTGAATTTAGAGATCATCTGAAGAACAGATTTGATATATTAGACACTAAAGACCGAAGACCAGAAGAA